CGAATTAACGAGGCAGTCTCGCGCCCGGCAGTGTTAGTTCCTGGAATACACTTGGATTCGTCACTTGAGACGAAACCGTTCACAACTAAATTACATTACGAAATCGGACGGATTCGGGATACCGTGTCGATAAAGTCGGTTGTCTCATTAGCGATTATTGATGGGACCGAACGTTTTCAACCGTGGCGCGATTCCTTTAGTGGAAGTAGTTTATTGGGTTTGTTCTATCGTTTCTCGTGCCACCGTTCAATGCAATGGATGGAGATACAACTTTATAGTCCGTAATCCGTGTATTGAACGGTACGAAAACGCGTGCATATCGTTAGAGAGAGTTTGGACACGTGAAAAATTATAATCGTTCCGGTCAAAATCGGGTTTCTTCGGGTAGGCCAAGTATGTGTAATTACCACGCGATATATTTACGAACGATCAAGTATGACTCATAAGAAATAAAAGGCTCGTGTTCGTGTTGTAATAAAATAGGATATAGATATGTCCATATATAAAAAAAAAAAATCATGGTCGAAGAACGGTTTTAATTTTACTTTTATAAGCTGAAACGATGCGATAAAATATATCGAAGAAAGTTATTCAACGTATATTTGCATATATATCGAGTAGATATCTTCGTTTGATAATCTTCGCTCACGTCACCACGGGATGAGTCGATTTTTTAATCGCGTTTGCGATAGGAAATCGAGAGGTGTGTGGCTATCTTTTGTGGCTATCGATTATCAACCGTGCTTACTTCTCGAACAAAGTTTCGCCAAGTTTTTCGAATCTTTACGATCTTACGAATCGTTCTTGTCGCTCTTGAGAGAAAAACGCATATTCTCGAAGTTCGAGTCGAATTATCGGGATATAAACAACTTCCTCTCCGCAAAGATATCGCGTTAAATGCAACTGGATTAACCGATTTCAATCATTAAGAGCCGCCTAGAATTCACCAGACTGTAAAATATGGTCGAGATATCACTTGGAGAGGGTCTCTCTGAAACGTGTTGTTAAATAGGCGGTAAATACTCGCTAAATAGGCGCGTAATGCCAGATTCTTTTTAGCCAGATTTTTCAAAAAGATCCGAAAGTAGGAAGCGCCTGATCGTTGGAATACAAATTTTCCCCCCGGTTTCGTGGCGACGTAATATCCTGAGTCCCCTTTCTCAAGTTGGAACCCAGGGCGAAAAAAGAAACGAGAGAGTACTCGTATTTCGAACGATGGTAATCACTTCCTCGTCGGTGTGCCGCACGGTCATAAGAATCCGGTCTGATTTGCGATTTGATTATGTCGTTCGCGTGCGTATTACAATTTCAAAGCAAGCACCGGCTGTATCTAGAAACGGAGAACGGTATGCTGTCTTTTAGATGTACACGGGAGCAAGCGTGGAATTTTTCTTCGTCGACATTGATCACTCGTCCATCAAATCAATTCGTATACTATATTTGCGCTATCTTTGTATACACGCTTGGTCACAGAAATATTCTACGCTCGTTTGCATTTTCTACAAAGATACGTTTTAAATAATTTAAAGCGACCAATTTTTTTTATCGCACGATGACGTTCTCTTTCTTCTTCTTCTTCTTCTTCTTCAGCGCGAGAAAATAATAAAAGATCATCTCCGGTTCAGGTTAGTACAACGCGTAACAATGGCGTGAAACAGTGTCGAAAGTGCAGCACGAACAAGATTCCCGTCGGGATCATCCTCGTTATTGTTCATCTCGGAAAGTATAGGAACGTTGAAAAACGAGGTCGTGACAGATTAATGCTCGATAATCGCCACTGTCGCCCGTTGGAAGTGGCATATGTGTATTAAAGCAACGGTGTCGCGTCAAGCGTGTATATATATATATATATGTATTATTACCTAAGAATACAGTGCGTGGATTACGTATCTTTCGACATCTTCTTGCCGATTGTTCCCTCGGTCGAAGATGTTGCTGGCATCGTTTCTTTAGAAAGTGGAGGTGTATACATTGATGCATTTAAAAGATCGATATCTATGTCATCGTGTACAACATAGAGTACACGATGAGATCAATACGGAATACGCGTCACTCGTATGTACTGGGTGATATCCCATTTAAGCGTAGTTTTTATTCTTTACTTCCATAAACTTCCATAAACTTTCGTTTATAGATGCATACGTGTATTATTCCATTCTGCTTATTATTATTCTGAAATAACGAAGAAGCGAATAACTATAATTTTATTTAAAACCTTCTTCGTAAACCGTTTGTCGTAAATTATCTTTAATAATTGTCGTTGACGGTAGACGATATTTCCTGGTCTTTTTTCTTTTTTTTTTTTTTTTTTTTTTTTTCTCTTTCTTTTTTTTGTACTTCGATAGAAAAGTACTATCCTTGAAGTTTACAAATTAATATTAAACTATCATAATATTTACATCGAGCTCTGCAAATGCTAAGCTCACACCTTCGATAGTTTTTTACGATGCATTTTTCATGTTTATACGCGTAAGCGGTTATTCGAATATCTTGATGATTCACGAATTTAAATTATGAAGTTGTAAAAATTTTATTATACTACTACTATTTGTTATTCAATACGTATATTATAGCGTTCTTTTTTATTATGATTAATCTTTATATTTTTTTCAATTTTCAAATATAAATGAGTTACGGCATATTCTATTTCGCATGAACATATTTTAAAAAAATATAAGTTTTCTGTAAACAATTCATATCTAATTATACGATAATAATTCTTGAAGAAATAAATAATTTAATAAGCCATAAAATTGTACAGTATATTCACTAATGATGAAATGCTGCAATTTTATTCTACGTATCGCTGAATCAAATGTTTAAAGTTCACGGCAATGCTGTTGTAAGAATACGGGAAAGTAAACAAGGAAATGTTATCAGTGCAGTAGGACAATAGACGATTGAAAATATCTTTAATTTCTTTAAAACGTCTTCGAATATTTCGAACGAAGTTTCAATCGATGTATCGAATATATCACGTGGCGATTGATAATAAGCCCAGAGATCTAAATCCTTTCTAACGCGGAGAACGCGATACATCTTTCGTTGCGATCGATGATGATCGATTTAATTTCTTTAAAACGTCTTCGAATATTCCGAACAAAGTTTCAACGGATCGAATATACAACGTGACGATTGATAATAAACACAGAGATCTAAATCCTTTCTAAACGCGGAGAACGCGATACATCTTTCGTTGCGATCGATGATGATCGATTTAATTTCTTTAAAACGTCTTCGAATATTCCGAACAAAGTTTCAACGGATCGAATATACAACGTGACGATTGATAATAAACACAGAGATCTAAATCCTTTCTAACGCGGAGAACGCGATACATCTTTCGTTGCGATCAATGATGATCGATTTAATTTCTTTAAAACGTCTTCGAATATTTCGAACAAAGTTCGTTTCAACGGATCGAATATACAACGTGACGATTGATAATAAACGCAGAGATCTAAATCCTTTCTAAACGCGGAGAACGCGATACATCTTTCGTTGCGATCGATGATACGCATCGCAATAAATTTGGGAGAATTTCAGAGAATCGGTTCGACAAATTACCGGTGCCGCATTACGTTGCGGTGGCCGTAATTGGTGAAATACTGCCAATAGTCACCGATTTAACAAGTTTATTTGATAAATAACATTTTTCGCAACGATCCAATGATATTTTTGTTTCGATCGATAGATAACTTCGAACCGGGATTTAATTGTTTAAAAATTAACACATTTTCGAAAAATCAATAAAATTCTATATACGGAATGGAATTTGCAATATTTTTCTTTTTTTTTTTTTTTGTTATTCTCTTTGATCTCCATGCAAACGTGGAATATTTTTTTTTTCTTCTTATCATCAATCGAGATACTTTTTTCGAAACACGAAATTTTGATCGACCGATTAGAGTGATGGAGAAAAATAATTTGTCCCGAGTTTTCGTTGTTTACGCGGTCGTCAGAGACACGTTGGCGAAACGAAAATTTAAAGGAAGGGCAAGTAGGAAATGATCCAAGCGCCTTGTCTTTCGAACTGTAGTTGACAGGTGGAGCCAAGGGAGCAACTGTTCCAGCGTTTTAACTTTGAACACGTACCGCGAGTATCTCTGGAGACGTACTACGTCATCGCTAAACGTTTGCCGCTTGTCATCCCAGTAATTGACTTTCTCTCCTGGCAACGATGAAAGAAAACTGCCCTCGTCGCACTCTCGAACAGTTTGCGTTAATCAATCCTTTTATCTGTATTTGTAACGGGAACAGAATGATGGATCGGTACTTTCAAATTCTATATGTATTTTTCTATTTCAAAAGATCGAGCGACGTAGAGAGATATCTTACACACGGTGAGTGATATCCGTGAGTGTTATACGAATTTTAGATTCGTATCGACACGTAGCACAAATTTGTTGTATTCGCGCGTAAGAATCACGGTACGAGAATCGTTGTCACGGTCGTCATTTTAACCATTTGAAATTCTATAAAATGCATCGTCGAGAAACGTATTATTGATAATAATCGTCTTCGGTGTTTATGTAGATCGTGAGAGTGGTCGCATTTATCATTCCGCAGGCAGCTTCGTTGTTGGTCGATTGAAAATTTCAAGGAGCGCCTCGGTATGGCTCGAACACTCGAGAGGAGGACGATCATTTATCAACGACCATTCCGGTATTCAATTTAACCCTTATTAGACGAGTAATTTTGTGATCACGTTTATTAGCGAATTAATCAACAAAGATTTGCCTGTGATAAAACGACGATGGCGATCCCTCCACTCGATTGATCGTATTTAAGTGGATTGAGATTTATTTTAACTTTACGAATACTCGATACAATCTTCTAGATGTTAGACCGCGATAAATTGTATCGAACGGGTCGATACATATATATATATATATATATATACGATGGTAAATAATCGCAATAATCGTTTTTAGAGCGAATCATCCGTGTATAAAATTTTATATATATTTTATTTTACAAGAATTCGTTGTTTATTTCAGATGGAGCGGCAGTTGCTACGGACACCGTTGTACACGAGGTAAGAAAATCTTAGAAGGAAAACACACGTGTGGATAGCAGTTCAATATAATTCTAATCCTTTTTAATACAACGAGGAGAAAGTTGGTGACTTGATTTATATCGGGAAACGCGATGCTCGATGATTATTTATCGTAGGTCGATTTTATAAAGTATATTGTACAAGTTTGCGTGAAATAACTCGCGCCTGGTATACTCCATTATACTTTGCGATATATATAATCTTATTGTTGTGTATCTCGAATCTGAAAGAATTTTAATAAATCGAATGATATCGAATGGAGAAAGAAGGAGAGTTTATTTTTTTTTTTTTTAATTTTTTTTTTAATTAATATAGACTTTATCACGTTCTTAAAAGGGGTGATTTGTAGGAAAATAATGCGTGGTTCATGCGTGTCAAACGCATTCCTCCGTTACGTTAAAAAATTTTCACTTTACATTATCGATATTGCGCGATCAGAAGAAATAGCAAGATTTATGAGATTGTCATATTACGTGAGATGTATTTTTCAATTCAAATTACGGGGCAAGAGCGATGTAGATACAAGTGGTACAAGAACTATGTAGATCAATCGCGAATGAATCAACTCAGAAGACATGACGAACGCTCCTTCCACCGCACACCTTCTTCTTTCATACGTTGCTGTATTTAAAGTAACTCCTAGTTACGAAAGAAGATAATGACATCGATTAAAAACGCGCTCATTAGCTCTTTATATAACTGCGTTTAGATTATCGTCTCGCAATACTTTCCTGTCCAACAAAGTAAAGTAAAAGTAAAACTGATGCTAAAACTTTAAAAACTTGACACGTTGACGCGTGTTTTTAGAGGAAAAACGATGATGCCGGGTGAAATATTTCCAAGGCAGTCGAATATCGAGCGAAACTTTACACTCGTTACCAATTGCAAAACCAATGGATACGCAACGAGTTTGATAAATATTTTAAAAAAAGTATTCAAAGTAATGTAAGTATTCGGACATGTAAATTTTATTTCAAAAGATGATTTAAACGCAACTGTTGCAAACGAAAATGATGGAGTATCGGTGACAGTGGGTCGTTATCCAAATTGCATAATGATTTCTAAAACATCACAAGTTTTCATACTATCGTTAAATATTCGAAAAAGTTTTTCCCTCTCCTCGAGTCTTTTCGAATCGAGAGAAGAGAATTTGCAAGAAAAATTGTGGAAAAAAGGAAAGGAAAAAGAAATACCTTCGCGCCTAGATATTCAGATCAAAAAGCGAAAGATGGAATTTTAATCGAATCGTGGTGTGTGTATGTGTGTGTGTTTAACGTAAGAAATAAGGCGAAACGTCAGTCAGATTTCTAGAAACGAAAAGATCTCGATCAATCATTATTGCAACGTGCCGATCATTTTGTTTCGGAATGGGACCAAAACGTGGTCAGATCCCACGATCGAAGTCGAACCGTCGAAACGTGTATCCACCGCCGGTGAATTTCTGTCATACTTTCGCGTCTCTGCACCTGTAATAAAGCTTGCAACGATTATATCTGTTGGCACGGCCGGATCATCTATCCTATAGCCTGCGGACTTGGCAGACTGATTGCCCTTAATACACATATAATTTATACCGAGGAGAGGGATGATAGCACGTTGCATCTAATTGGATTCCGCTCACGTATATATATATACGTACACGCATATAAATATTGACTTAATATAATAATCATCGGTGCGTTGTGTTGCCATTACCGAACGAGCCACAAGATTAATTCGCGTTCCGTAATCGGCGTGTTAATAACACTTCCTTTTCTTTCTTTTGCGGTCAGCCGATCCAACGATCCATCTTCTCGTGTCCTCGTGCGCTCGGAATAAAACCGGCAGATTTGTCACGATTTTCATCTTTTACAACCAAACAACCCTTTCACTTCTCCGCTATTTCATTCCCTTTTCCGCGACGCTCGATTACAAATAAAAACAAGCCGATACGAAATTTCTCCTTCATCTTTTCAAAAAACGTATTATTAATTTATATTACATCTCTTAAGGATTCTCGCGGTTCCTCGATTAAAATATAATCGATTTTTATGCAAATGCAAATTTTCCACGTTACTCTTTTTCCGCGTATACTTTTTACGTATTATAAGCGATACACGAAATTTGACGTTATTCACGTAATATTTTCCAATAATTATCAATTAAAAATCGATTAAAATATTTCTAAATATTTAGCGATTATCGCGCAAATTAAAAAAACTGAATTAAAAACGTATTAAAAATTAGAAAAACTTTGAATGGTTACAGCTTCGAAGATAGTTGAAACGCTTTTCGAATTATCCCGATATCACTTCCGGTTCCCAAGATATCGTCGCGCGATCGAAAGGATAATTTTTACTATCCTCATTCTCGTCGCTTACTCGGATTTCACCGACCTATTCCAAGTTTCAGACAAGTGGCAGACGCGATTCCTGGAAGTAAACACTTCTAGGAAAAGATATAAGTCACCGAGTCCATTCATAATCTCCGTATTATGTTAAGCGCAGCGGATACTTTGATTCCTTGCATCTCGGCAATCGATCGAGAAATAAAGCAAAAAGTGACTTCAACGGGGTATGCTTTCCTCTCTCTCTCTCTCTTTTTTTTTTACACGAAAACTTTGTAATTTTCTAACTTGAACTAATGGATGTAATGTCGTGATGTAAATAATATCTTATTTGTCGAATATCTGCAAACGCAAGATTTTTTCTTTCATATCATTATATATCGATCTCAGTAAGAAACATAGTGTTTATATAAGTTTTTACTCGCTTTTACCGTGCTCGTGATAAATTTCTACGATAATGGGATGCAAAACTCCGATTCATTAGCGAAAGAGAGAGAGAAAAAAAAATACTATTGCGTTAATTAAAATGACAAAGGAATTACACAAAGGAATAATTTACCGCGCGACGTTTTCCTCTGCGATCGTAATCACGGTCAGATCTTATTCACGCGCAGAATCGTGATCACCTCTTCTTACGCGACATAACGGCTCATCTATCACTTTCATTTACGAGGGCAAAAGGCCCCGTTCGTCGTCTATACGATTCGTGACGCAATACTCGTTTATAGGTCAGTGGTGAAAAAGGCGCATACGTTAACCCGACGTCAGTTTGCCGGAAAATCTTTCGCGCCTCATTGATTTATAACTTGGCTACATCCGTAAACCATCTGAAATTTTGTAACTTTAAACTTTATTTACGTTCTCGCAGGTAACAGTGACTTACTCTTACATACGCTCGTACATACGCGAAGAAAATATTTGTCACGTTCCAGCGTGAAAATATAAATTTACTCGTTTCTCGTTTCTACTTTATCTTTACACGACGATCGATCGCTTACCTAATACTTTACATTTCGATGTATATATAAAGTTATTATTATATAAATTTTTCCTCTACGCAACTATTCCGCGTCCGATCGAATCGCCACGTTGTGGACTACGACGGACGTAGGAGAAAAGAAATTTTTAATTTGCATAAGACGCGTGGAAAATGCTATTACCGTTTAAATTGGCCACCGTACGACCGTATGTACACAATGTCGAATTACCATACAATCGTAAAACGCGTACTCTCGACTCGACGGTAAATAATCGAAATGATCGAGCTAGGTATCGATTGCTCTCGGTTACGAATTAGACGGGGGAAACGCGGTGGATTAGGAATGATGTTAGAGGGGAAAAATTCGAGGAATACGAGGCAGGCAGATACAGTTATAACGCGGCCAAGAGTTGACCTGACATATCGGTAACAATGCTTAGGCGTGTCGCGGCCGTGTTGCAACCGATTTCAACAAACTATCGTCCGTATCGGCATCGACGCGTGAGCATTGCTCGCGTCCGCACGTGCACGTTCCTCCGCCGGATAACAGCGTATACGTGCGGCGCGCGTGATGTCGAACGGCACAGATATAGGCGCAGCTGCTAGTAGCGTCCACGTCATATCTACGATACCAGTTTTGCAGCAGCCGGTCGTCGCCACGAAGATGCGTTAAATGTCAAGGCGAGGACACGGTGGAGTTTTGTCCTGGTGGAGGATAGATCCTCGCCTTTTATGCGATCGGTCAATGAGCTTCGCGAAAGGAGCTCCACGCGTCATCCAAAGCCTATCTTTTATCCGGAGTTCGTCTTCGAAACGCGTCGCTTGGGGCGTCGATCCGTTCGAGAAGAGAGAGAGAGAGAGTGTTTGAAATTTTTCTAATCGACGATATCGTTCGTTTCGATCGATTTATCGAAATTGATATCTTGGATATTGGAACTGTATTATTAATAAATTTACGAATACTTTACAGGAAAATCTCTTTCTGCACTTTCGTTGGCCAATTGATCGATTTTAAATTTATCGATATAATAATTATAATGGATAACTGTAATTTATCGGAGTTTGTAACGATATTCGTTTATCTCGATCACTGAATTCGTACCATTAAACAATATTTGTCCAAATATTAAACGAAAGTAAAATACGATTTAAGTATATAAGACAGTGGCAATAATTTATTCAAAGTTAATATTCTTTCCAAGTAAAAGACGTTTTATTAAAAAGGAGCAAGTCATTGGTGTTTAATCCTTTGTTTAATAAATATATACGCACACTTTTATTGACATTATCCTTTCACTCAAGTGCGCAATAAATTTAATCAATTCATAGACATCATTAGAAAACGAGTTTTTATTTAAGTAGGTATATTTTAACGACACATTTGACATAAAGATATATGTATTTTACGAAATATTTATAATATTATTAAATATTACATTCTAATAAATGTTAATATACAACTTTGGAAAATTTCTCTCTCTCTCCCCGTGTTTTTTCAGGATTCCGTGGCGTCCGCCTCCGAAGTGGGGGAGGAATACGAGGACGGCGACGATTCGGACATGTACATGGAAGCGGAGAGCGGCGAAACCGATCGGATCGATAAAGGGAGGGAAAGGGAGGAGCGACGCGAAAGTTACGCGAACACGACTGACCGTGGCCCGAGCGTGCACGAGGAAAGCAGCGGGGAGGTGGAAGGGGGGGAAAGCGAGGCGTCCAAGTGGAAGAAGGACGATCAGGAAGCGGAAAATACGAAGGAAAGCGATCGGGCCGAGGCGCCCGATTCCGAAGAGAAAAGCTTGGAAACGGAGAGTCAGAACTTCTTCCCCTCGTTCGCCGACCTGTTCGCCAATCACAGAAGTTCGTTCGCCGAGCAACAAAGGTACAGGCCTCAGAACAGATTCCTGGGATACCTGCAACGCGATCGCAACGGTTATCAAACGGCGTCGGGGGTAACTGGGGGGAAAGACGTTCATCATCCCCTTCTGGGATCGGGCAACTTCGGCGTGATCCGAGGCGGCACCTATTATCCCGAGGAGAAGGAGAACGACGAATATTCGGTGGACGATACTCTGTACAATCCTTACTATCACGGGGGGAACCGTGGCCGCGCAAATTATTTCAGGAATCCTAAACCGCAACCGATTCGCGGTGGCGATTTCTTCGCGAATTTCCGAGATTTCGCCGACATCACGGCCCCCCCCAAGTCCAGTTTCTCTCACTTATCCGTCGTTTACGCGAATAAAAACGCGACCGGGACGCGTCTCGGTCAGGAGCCGAGAAATATCATCGAAACTCTGAGGATGCTGGAAGAGGAAGGGCAAACGAGCTCCGAGGTGGCGGTCGGCACGGAATTACCGAGGAAGAAACAGAGCAAAGGGAAGAGGAAGTTGATGAAAATGAAGCAGTACGAAGAGGACAAGGCGAGGAGATCCTCCCGCATCACCGTCGAGCCTTTGTTGGCGCTTAGTTGAACGTCACGTTTCGGAATTGAAATTGTAAGGTAGTGCGGACGCGAACCACGGGATCTTTCTCCAAAAAAAGAAAAGAAAAAAAAAACGCGAAATCTGGCCACGAGATTAGAACCAAAGTGTGAAAAATATTGTCATTTACTCTATTGTTTATTGGAGGAGGATTTTGTGCGGAGAAGAATGCGAAGAAACGATCGATCAAAGGGGACAAGTCGCGTGAATTTTTTTTTTTTTTTTTCCCCCCATTAATTTTCCAATAATTCGATGCGTCGAGATTTTGTATTTAATAGGAAGAAGTGTTTCGTGTAATTAGAAATTTTATATCAACGCGTTCCGTTGAACGTACTTTTGAATTATTGGAATTAACGTAACCGCCTTGACGTGCTTTCCAATTTTCGTGGCAAGACTGTACAGATTGCGTGTAAACCGAGTATTTTTCTCCAATTATTTAAATCGTTCGCTACGAAGGATAAACTTGTGTATCGTTTCGCTTTCGTAATTCTACGTTTCAGACGTTCCTCTGAGAAAGAAAGAAAGAAAGAGAGAAAGAAAGAAAGAAAATTAAAAGCGTCAAAATATAGGTTGCCATCGAAATCGAACCGTTGAAATGATACAATCGGAGCTAGACTGAAATTACTTTGAAAATTTCGAATCGAAGAAGTATCGAACAGCACTCTGTTCGATCGGACGAGATATCCGAATTGGAAGAAGCAGAGAACTATCGGAAATGATACGTGTCCGACTCTAACTCGTATCCAAGGATAGTCAAAAGTATCTATGAAATAGTGTTTTTATCGATCGATTAATCTCGCAATTTTTGCGTGGAAATAATTAATCATTCATTGTCGAACGAGAGAAGATCAAACTCGTTTATGGCCAATTCACGGACACGTTTCAAATCGATCGAATGCATTTTCGCGTGCTGCACCTTCGTTATGCTCGAGTAAACTTCAGTCAGGTACGAGTGTAACGAGTGTACGGGCGCGAATAACGGGTTAATCTCTCCGTTCACAGGCTGCGCGCACGCGCTTGACACGCGCGTTTCCCTTACGTGTATTTGTAACGAGTGTGAAAACACCACGAGTGTATTTAATAGAAAAAAGAAAAAGGAAGAAAACAGAAAATTCGCGAAAACGGAAGGAGATACATTTGCGTTTGTCACGGCCTTTTGTAAATAAATTTCCACTGCTCTGCCTCGCGTTTTCTTTAGTGTTTTAGCTAAAGCGGAACCGGACCAACATTTGCGTCTTCATTCGAACATGAACATGCGCGTGTGTATTCGTTCGCGGACCGTATTTCTGCGTTTAACTATGAATGTAGTTGTAAACTACGTTAAGGTAATCTATCGTAAGATAAGTATATCTCATATCGTCTGTTTCTTTTCTACGTTGCAGACTGTCTCGCTGCATTTATTAAATTCACAAAGACTGTTCATCTATTAATTATTATTATTATTATTATTATTATTATTATTATTATCGGCTTGGCGTAGAATTTCTGTTTCATCTCTTGTCATTAATTAAATTAAACTAATATCTTCCCACAAAAGTATCGAATTTTTTGTTGTTCAGATTTTCAGACACGTATTTGCGATTTTTCTTCTCACATCACGATCCTTTGATATTTCTCTTTATGTTCGTGTGTCGAGTTATGCGTTCCAAATCTGTTGTCGACGATTTGTCGTTTTGGTTTTTTTCAAATACCATGGCATATAAAGATTCACCATTACACTTCGTGCTAGAATACTCTATATAAAGACGAAAAGTCCGCCAGTGAATCTTTCGCTGTAGATTTCGACGATATTGTTATAAAGATTTTGTTGTTGTTTATTTTAAGTACGATAGTATAGGTATGATAATTAAATGCTCGATCACTGTGTCTCGTACCGTATATGACTGTATACTGCAAGGGACACGTGATAAAGTATCGAAATAAAGTATATTTTTCATAATTTATGCGAATGTGAAAACCTGTTATCATCATTTCCTGACGGATTTAATAGAATAAAAGAAAAAAATTTTTTTTCCTCTCAAAAGGTAAGTAAACTTTACCATTTATAATCGTAATAAAATTTATTTATCGTAAAATAGTTAAAAAAAACATACTCGAATACTAATAGATACACACGACATCGCTATTTCTTTCTTTCTTTTTTTTTTTTTTTTTTTTAGTTAATAAATATTTACACGCGAACAATACATTTAAAAAAAAAAAAGCTATAAAATAAAGTTTAACATTAATCGAAATATTTATAATTCATTATAAATATATATAAATATATATATATATATATAGGACTTTAGCGTTTTAAAAAAATAAACGCGAAAAAAAAACACGCGAAAGAAACGATATTATTAATTATTAATTCATATGTTTCTTCATCGTGCCGATTAGTTTTCCGATTCCAGTATAAATTTCTGCATACGTCGCACGTTTATACATCCAAGCTGGTGTACTAAAAACGTTGTATTTTTTACACTTGGTCATTCCCTTTACGCTTTTCTGCTCGATCTTGGCTCCCATGTCTTTAGCTTTCTTAATAGCATCGGCAAACGGCCACTCTTCCGCTGGTGCTAAATACGATTATTACGCGAATAATAATAATTCTTATATCTTGCGATAAATATTAAGACATTTGTTTAAAATTTAAATTTAAATTTGTAACTTGTAAAAAGTAATTACATACATAATTGGATACATAAGTTACGATAGAAGAAATTTCTTACATTCTTTTCCAAGCGTAATTTTAACACCCTTGAGCACTCTCGCTACAAGAACACTAGAAATGCAGATCGATGCAATTGGTTTGCCCTCGTAGTAAAAATCTTCGATAATTTGTTCCAAATGGGGATGTATAGTGCAATCTGCACCTTTCTCTGCGAAATTGCTCCTTTATAAGAAATACGACGAATAAAACGAATACAATATCGACGGATTTCGGTTTTGTAAACCGAACGAACGAGTAAGCTATTTTAAACTCTATTCTTAAATTGCATATTTTTTTTTTTTTTTTTGCATTCGTTTGATCGACGCATTTAACATAGAATTTTTCACGAAATTATTCTTATCATTCTTTTAAATCGATCGTCGACTCAACAAATTACTAACAATGTCTTTGCAGCACCAAATCCTCCGGGGATAACGAGTGCCTCGTGTTTACAAGCTTGGCATTGGCATAACGGTTTTATATTCGATCTAGCGAGTCTGGCAGCTTCGACTAGAGCGTTTCTGAATGGACTATCTGGATCCGGTTTTTTGATAAAATGATCGACAGTTTCACATATGTTTACGTCTGGCGCGTAAAAATGTGGCTTCATATCTTTCAGGCAGATATGTATCATTGCCGACATGGCTTCCGAAATTTCAGTACCATCTAGATAACCGCAGCCGCACAAAATCTACGACGAGAAAACATTTCAAAAAAGAAATGGACGAAATCGTTTATTTTTTAAAAAAAAAAAAAAAAAAAAAGATAAATTCAGCGTTATAATTTTTATTTGGCTCGTACTCTGCAAAATTAATCGAAAAATCAAATATCGATCGTTCTATCTTAATTATACGAGTATTTGAGGTAATAATAATAATTTATCAAATTGGACACAACGTATATTAAGTGCGTATAAATACTCACAACGGCAACGGGCATTGGATCGCACTTTCTTTGTTGCTTATTACATTTTCTATTAATAATTTGTGACGTGTGAAAACTAGATGATAAAATAGATCTTCCAAGCATGAAAGATTCATTTCGTAACGCTGGCACGAATCGTACTCGTCGTAACATAATATATAAAAATATGTGATAAAAAATAAAACGACGTTTTATTTTTTATTAAAATTTATCAAATTAGATGTTTATTTAACCAATAATTTTCTCCATTTTATCAATTTGCGACATTCGCATGTTTCGTTTAAACGTAGAGAAAAATGTAGAGAAATGTAGAAAGGAGAAAGATATTTCGATAGTGGTGATATCGGTGTTCATAAATTTGAACCTCTATTTCCGAACGTTCACCATAGAGGGCAGGATTTGCCGGAATTACAAGAAGAGTCCTCGATGCGATTGGCGCAAACTATTTTCCCGAGTTACACGCGCTCGATCGATAAGTTCGTTCCGTGGCGTGCCGCGACGTGGTTCGAAGCTGTGCTAGCTGTGAAGCGAAAATCGGAGAAAAGCGAAAGAATGGGATGGGATAATAGCGAGGAGGTGAAGGGGAAAGGATAGAGGTAGGGAGGAAAATTCAAAACCTCTCCTCCGTTTAAATAAACATCGGCAAGGTAGGCTGAACTTATTTTATGGCCCGTATAACCTTTATTGTGCTCTAGAAGCAATTTTCGCTCAGACTATGAATACGAAAAGCGTTACGGGGAGTGGTGAAGAGATTTAACAACAACGGTATGAGAAATAGGGCGCGTAATAATAAATCCTTTCCACTTGGTCGGAATATACAACTATCTGTAAAAAAAAAAAAAAAAAAAAAAAAAGAAAATCCCAGAAATATTATCGAATTTCACATTTATAGGGAAAAATTTGAAGTAATTGGTGCGAAACGATTCAAAGAACGATTAAATGTTAAACTAAAATTAAACACACTGTTAAGAGAGAATCTCGCGTTTAATTTGCCACTATAATAGCCCACCCATAATGTAAAGCTCTGTGCGAAAATCGCGAATCTCAACCGATTCTAATTATCGAGCAAAGTACAGGGCACCCTCGAGTGCCGTTTCGTTGCTCCCTTTTCTACGAGAGAGTAGCAAGGTTAACGCATAATCTTATGTAAATCCCGCGTTTTCCCTTATGCTTATACGCCCTTTCCGTATAGGAAAAGCAACTTACGCGGGTCGGTTCTCGGGTTACACGTGGAAAGGGATGCTTAGGCGTTCGGTGCGTTGGACGCAGGGGTAGGGCGCGGGGCTTATATGAATGTTAAAATAAGTTTGAAATTGTCGCGGACAAGTTCGGCCCCGTGGGAGGCAGCCGTCGAGTAATTCCACCATGCCGCCGGTTTCGGCCCTTCGCCGAGTTTGCGATCACTCGTGAATTTCTACCAACTTTCTACGCTTCTACGCGTCGACTTTCCTTCCCTTCTTATTGTCCTTTCGTTAATCGCCCATCTTCTCGATAATTCATCGCGAATATAAACGATTAAAAATACTTCCTGCTTCGACCCTTAATGCATTTGGACGCTCGTTCACGTAACAAACGCATTTCAAGAAACGAGCTTTAATATTTCAACTCGAGTCGGAAACTGTTTCCCGCGTCTCGATAATAATCGTCGCTGTCGTTTCTTAGACGTCGTCAGAGTTTCGCCAGAACTCGACGCGGAAACAAACTTACGGGAAGTTAGGGGAACCTCTCTTCCTGTCGTGGCAATATTCTCGACGACACGAGGAGCGAGGTAAAACCGTTTCGTCGAATGACAGGCTGGTGACATCCGGCGAAGCGAGAGCTACTAACACGTATCATCGTCGACATCCTCGAAAGATTTAAATCACGAGTTCTCGCGATGAAGACGAACTCGTAGGCGCAACCATTTCGTGTTTGGAGAGGGAGAGAGAGAGAGAGAGAGAGGTGGGAGGTGGACGGGCAAATGCGACGCGATGCGAGTAACCGAGTGGTTAATTGAATGAGGTGCCTCCCAGGAGCGTCGAAGCGTCGCGTGTCACACGTCAGAATTTCCGAACTGGGAGCCGGAAATTACGAGGATTGTCGGTTCTCTGCCAATTATCAGGTCGCGATATGATTGCGCGGCTGGAATCGCGCGGCAGCGGTGAATCGAAATCGCGCAACCTCCGACCCAATCGTTTCCTGTATGACGGTAGCCGACAGACCGAGTTCGTCAATCATTAATAATCCATCAATCGTATCGATAGTTGGATTTCTCTACCGATACCCCGAATCCGAGAGCACGTAGGGGAAAATGATCGTTTGTCAATTTCTAAAAGTCCCGTCGATTGGCTGTTGAGCCGTGTCACGAGACGCGTTCATCCTGTTTTCATTCTGTTGGCGAGTTAAAATCGTTTAAATCGATCGCAAACATCCTTTACCTTCCTCGTTTACGCGTTATTAATTAAACAAGAAATGGAAGAAGAGAGGTATGCTTATAAAAGTTTGGGACGTCGATCGAAATATATCGCGTAATATATAGACAGAGGGTTGGATTGAAGAAAGGAACGCGTTTGAGAATCGCGTGGTGCGTTCCGGAAGATCGGAAGATGGAAGAGTTTGCAGCATTGCGGGTTGGTAAAGTGAAGACTGCTTATGCATTCTTGGCGCGATGGCAATCGCGGGGATGGCGGATGTTGGCAGGGGTTGGATGCCGTGCGAGAACCAGACAAGAGAACAATTACGCGCCGTCAGCCCCGTGACCGGTACGATGCCATGAGGCGAATCAAAACTAGGTGTGCTATCACCCTTGGGCCAGCTCCATCTTCTCGCTTCGAGGCCACGTTCCTCCTCCGTCCCGAAGGGAAAAGATCGAATCTCGATCGGTAAGCGAAGTTGCCAGTTTCCACGGACCAATTTAACCAGGGCTTGTCACACCCTAAGTTTACGCGTTTCTCTCGTTACTTTTGCTTCCTCGATGAGTCGATTGTTCATCGAATCATTTTCCTAATATGATCAATTCTATATTAAAGTACTTTAATATCGAGACGTTCAATTTATTTAAGAGTATTTCGATATTTTAACAAATTTCGTTTTTTTTTTTTTTAAAGAAGAGAGGAAAAATGAAAATTTAAAACGTTGAGAATTCGAAAACTTTACTTTTTCTCGATATATCGTCTCTCTTTTTCCCTCGATATTTTTTTATTTTTTCCGACCCTTCCCTGCCGTCCACGAGATCGCTTCCCTAATTTTCAGCACGATCAAACGTTATTTCCAACCTGTTCCACCACTACACCGAAACTTTCGTTTAACCGATATTGAGAAGTTTTTCGTTTCGTGTTCGAGATAACTTTTCCCGTCGACGTTTCTTTTTCTCTTTCATTTTCGCACCCTATTTTTCCTCCGCATAAAATTGTTGTCGAAAAAAAAAAAAAAAAGAGGCAAAAAAGAAGAAAAAGAAACCATTTACGTTGACTCGGTTTCCATCAAAGTAATCGTAATTGCAAAATTTAAACGATTACGAAAGTACGTAGAAAGGTAAACGATCAGGGATCAACGAATATAATAAACGATAATAATAAGGATAATTTAATTCGAGGAGATGAAAAACTTTCGACAAATTTTCCATTAGATACACGATTGCACGGTGTCGCGAGACGAATCGGTCGTAATCCGATAACGCGACAGTCGCTTAAATGGTCGCATACGTTACCACGACGTTTACCTCGTTACGCGTTGTGGTGGTGGAATCACGGGCCACGCTTTACCCTCAAGGTCTGAGTAATTAATTTTGCGAAACGAGTTCACACGATATTATTCCTCCCTCGCAGGAAGCGGCGGGAGGTCTCTGCCCAACCGAAATCGTTTTCCACGGAATTCGTTCCCCGCCACGCGCGCATCGCCAAAAATCTGAAACGTCTACTCTCGTCGACGAGGCCGACGAGTTTCAAGGTGGCGTTCCGAGCGCTGTTAAAATCTTCGCAAAGTTCATCTCGGCCGGAATAAATGAATAAATAAGAGATCTCGTTCGCGAGGCAAAGAGAGAAAGGGTCGGTGGGCATAAAGCGGAAACGTAATAAAGCGGTTTCGCACCACCGATATTAAACCTTTGGTCGAAAGAAAAAGGAGTTTGCTCTTCGTCAACGATCGTGGAACGAAAGGCGACCAGCTTTGCTTCGATTAATTTTTATATTTTATCGTCCTCCCTCGAATCGATTATTATTATTCTATAGAATAGATCATTTCGTTCGATTTCTTTCCGACCTCATATTTTCGAGCGTTTGTTATTTATAAAAAGCGCTTCGCAAGGAGAAGGAGGAGAAAATCCTGATCCATTGTTTGCAATAATTTCGCCTTAAGGACGGTGGAGAGAAAAGAGCGTGTCGTTGCAAAGCGTTGAACGACTGGCAAGTCCCGACAATTGGAGGCGAGTTTGGCGCGCGCGAGAGAGAGAGAGAGAGAGAGAGAGAGAGAGAGAGAGAGAAAGAGAGTTTTATTGTATTTTTTTCATTAACAAGTCCCGAGCCGGTCCCAGGAGGGCGGAAAAGTTGGCGGCGAGTTTTAGCGAGACTTTTGTTAATGTTCGGAATTAACGGAGTAAGGAGACTTTAAGTCATAAGGCCTCACGGGAGCGCGGGGTTCGACGCCAACTTTCACGATTCTTTATTTCTTTATCAACTCCGACCCTTGGTTCCACCTCCGCCTCACGGAACGCTCGCCCAGCCCGACCAACCGTTTCTTCTCGCTACGCCGCCACTCTATAATTACTTTGTTCGGCACAATTCTCTTATTTTCTTTCCCTCTACCTCCTGTAATCATCGACCAAGCCTCTTTCTTCCACTCCTTTCACATTTTCTAAAATTGCATCGCGTTCTTAAACGTCCATCGACTTTTCATTTTCTTCGATTTTCTTCTTATTTATTTATTTATTTTTTTTTTTTACAATCCATAATTCCAATTTCAAACGTATGTATTTACATTAGATGTACGTATATCTAAGTTGTATATAGGACGCGATGCGAGAAGCGTGATGCGCGATACGACATGATTGCGTCATGTACGTTTTGATGTTTCATTAGTATGACGATCGACGTATGGATTGTACGGACGATAACCGAGTCGAGGTGAACGTGTCTTCATATCGCGTCCCATACGTTCGGCAACGATCGGGGAGTGAT